GGAGTCCGCCGGGAGCCCCCGGAGCGCGGCCACGGCGCAGGTGAGGGGGCCCACCTCAGGCCCCGGCCCGGCCTCCTCCCGCCGGGGCGACCGGAGGGCGTCCGATGGCTGAGGGCAGAGAGCCGAAGGAGGGCTGGGGGCCTCCCCCTTCGAAGGAGCTGGGCTTGCAGCGTTCCTCGTCCCCGTGCCTGGGCCGGCGAGTGCAAAGAGGCCTGGCCACCGCGGGCGGCCTTGAGCGTCCAGCCCAGGCAGGGCCGCGGGGCCTGGGGGCGGCAGGATCTCATCCGGACCCTCCCCCTGACTCCCGGCAAGGGCGGTGGGTGAGGCCGGGCACGGCCAGGTGCCGGGGGGCATTTTGAAGTCCTGAGGAGGTAAAGTTAGGAGGTGCCTGGGGAGGCCGGAGGGGGAGGGGGAAGAGGAATCGGACTCTCGGGCCAGCGGAGTAAGGGGAGAGGAGAGAGCGGCGCGGCCGGAGGGAAACAGCCCAAGGCGGGGTATCGGGGCGGGGCCGGGCTTCCAGGTACGATCCAGACACTGGGGCGGTGGGTGGGTCAAGTTACAGGCCTGGGGGCGGCTGAGGAGAAGCCCAGGAAGTGGGGCTGGGTGGGTGTGGGCCGAATTAGTTCGGGTGGGGTCGGATAGGAGATCCCAGAGATGTTTGCAGGTGTCACGTGAGGTCAGGGCTCAGAAACGTAGGGCAGAGACTACATCTGGGGGAGATCAGGTAGGGTAAAGGACTACTATAGGAACCTGGGAAGTGGAGAGAGGCAGAGACTTTGCTTGGCTGGTGGGAGTGTGGCCGCTGTATAGTGTTATCTTAAAGCCCAATCTGAAGAGCTCTGTTGTTGCCCACACCCCATCCCTGAAGGCTTTAGGTTCCCATCCCACCCCATCTGCAGGCCTCTACTGGGTGCTCTGGGGCACTGACCAGCCAGATGGCTGGCTGTGTGGGCCGCTGGGGAAGCAGTATGTAACACCTAGCTCTGGCATCTTGTCCCCCACCCAGGGGGGCGGGGGTGGGGGGTAGTGGTGGCATGGCCTACCCCACCCCATATATCTGCAGGGAGGCAGCCCAGTGGACATGACCTGAGTAATTTAGAGTCCTGGGTTCTTTCCCCACTTTTTGTGACCAGACCCTTGAGTCTTAAGTCTAGGAGATATGGAACCTAGAACCCTCTCCATGGTCACCATCTTAAACAGCAGCCTCCTAGGCTCCAGCTCTTGGAACCTGAGTTCTGTGTACTCCTTCCGTAGAAGTGAGGAACTGGGGAGTTGTTAGTTGCGTCTTGGAAACTTCTGATGAGGTGAGGGCAGGTCAGAGAGAAGGGGATCAAATCAACTAACCCCAACCCAGTCCCTTGGGGCTACCCAGTCCCAGGGAACTGTGTCTGGAGCGCTCGTCCTGGGCTAGGCCCTGTGCTGAGCTTGCTGGTCTGTGGGGTGAGCTCAGTGATTGCTCACCGCCAGCTGAGCTCAGGCCTTCTCCATGGCATAGATGAGGAAGTGGAGGCTCAGGAGGTGGCATGGCACAGCTTGCTCCAAGTTACGTGGCTAGACAAGGGACAGAGCAGGGATGACCCTCAGCCTAAAGCTGTATTCCGTCCCCTCCCCCTCGAGTTCTCCACCATCCCCAAGCGGGCATTCCTGGAGGAGCATCCCTTTGTTCCGGTTGCCCAGATGGGGGTTCTGTCAGTCCCCTCTTTCCTGACCTTTCTTCCAGCCCATCCTGAGGGATAAGGTCAGTGCCCTCGTGGACAGTTTTCCTGGTGTCTCTGGGGGCTGGGACAGTAGAAGCTTTTCTTTCAGACCAGGCCATACCTTTCCCCCATTCCCCTCTGGGAACCAAGAGGTCAGGAGTCACTGAGCTATGGGCAGCAGTGGGAGGCAGTTATGAGGTCGAGGCCTGGCTCCAGAGCTTAGAGTTTACTTGCCTGGCCAGGCTGGTTTTTTTCCGTGCTTTGGTCCCTGGTCCAGACTGCTCAGCTTAGTTCTCTTCTCTCTTGGGTAGTTGCAAGGCTGTTACCAGGGTGTCCTTGGGAAGTTGATTTGGAATCCTCAGCACCCTGAGGCAGGAACCACAAACTGCTGGGTCAAATAACATCAGGCAGATCTGGGTTTAATGATGGGTTGTCACCCTAATTCTCTCCAGTCTCCCTATAGTTCCCAGCACTCCCTACCTGGTCCTGTCCTCCTCCCCTCTTTGGTTGTATGGGAGGGTAGGAAGCAGCATCCCCAGGTAAGGAGGCCTTCCTCTCTGTCTGGGTTTCTGCTGGGGCTACTGAGTACAGACTGGGACCTCATCTGGGCTTTGCTTCAGAGAGGGAGGACAGAGATGGGTTTTAGTAACACATCTGACATACGGTATGAGCAGGAGCCACAGAGGCACAAGACTGGTGCGAGTTGGCCTTGAACTAGGACGGATGGCAGAGAAGAGGGCAGTGTAAGCAGGTCCATGAGCGGGCAAATACGGGAGGTGAGCCTGAGCCTGCATCTTTGGAGCTGGAAGAGTGAGACTGTAGGATGGGCAGATTCTGTTGTACACAGGGTGCCATACAAGGTGGGCAAGAGAGACAAGTAAATGGACAATTAGAACCATTTTTATTTCGCAACTGGGTATCAGCTCCGTGCTGGTGACTTCAGTTCTGTGAAGGTGACCAACATCAGCCAGACAAGATAATTTCAGATACTCCTACCTTTGTGGAGGAAGTGGAACCAAATGAAATGATACAGTGACTGGGGTGGGGGCAATGGAGAGTTTTAGACTAGGTGGCCTAACTGGAGAAGATCTGTGAACTGAGATCTGAATTATAATAAATCTGGCCTGGGATGGGACAGGGAGGGAGGAGGTTCTAGACAGAGGAGACAGCAAATTCAAAGCCTTATTGAACATGTGCCAGGCCCCTAGTAAATGCTCTAGACATCTTGAGGGAAGGAGTGAGGGATGATTCCATTGTGAAGACAGAACCTAGTGCCATTCACAGGAAAGCACCCTGTCTCAGGGTCTCCTGGGCCTCCCCATCACCTTCAAATTCAAACTCCTTGGCCTACATCCAGGGCTTTTTAAAATCTACCCTCCTGGCCAGGCAGCAGGGTACCCTATAGGTTCTGGAGCAGACTTGTGAGGAGATAGTTTTGATCAGCCGTCCGAGGGATTGGCCTGGGGCATGGGCATTAGAGAGGAGGGAGTTGTAGGGTTGGCACAGAGAGCTTTGCCTGTGTTCACCAGTAACATCGCTGGAGCCCCTGATGGAGAATGGAGCCTGCCAGCCTCAGATGGGGTATGCTGTTGTAGGTAAGGGGATGGTGAGCCACCAGGGCTAAAAACACAGAGCCTCATCTTTTCTGGGCACCAGGCTGCTCTGAGCACGTTTACACATTTGAACTCCTTTAAGCCTACAGCCACTCAAAAGAGCTAGGCCCTGCCTGTTGTTGGCACCATTTGACGCACAAGGGAACTGAGGCACTCTAGTCTTTTCTTACAGGCCCCGCCTCCCTCTCATGCGGTTTTGCTTGTGCTGCCTTCTAGCTGCTTCCTTCCTTGGCTCTCTGGACCACCTCCCTGTGCTCCCCTGTCCCCTCACCTGAGAGTGCCTTTCTCTCTCTTCCCCTGGAGAACCCAGGTCCCCTTTCTCTGAGCTGCAGAGGCCATGGGTGGCAGTAACCCTGTGCTTCCAGGTGGTGGGGGGACAGTGTGAGATGGCACAGGTGACAGGCAGAGATTGTGCTCAGTATGTGGTTGCTGTGATTGTTGTCCTACCGACTCTCATTTGTGCTTCTCATGCTACCACCCCCATGAATGTCTCTAGGGCCTTACAGGCCTAGGGTCTTCTATGAGTGGCAGGACTTGGACTCAATCAAGTTTTCTGAGGTAAACAAAGGATAGGTAAGGATGAGCAAACAGGATGTAGTGGAGAGGATCAAATCCCATGGTCAGCTGCCACCCTGCTTAGCCACTGGTCCCTTGGGCAAGACAGTTGACCTCTGTGAGCCTCAGTGATGAGTGAGGATACCTGCAGTACAGCCATTCTTAACAGGACATTGGGTGATGTCTGGTGACCTTTTTGGTTGTCAGGACCTGGGAAGGGAGGATGCTGTTGGCATCTGGTGGGTCACAACTAGGAATCCTGCTCAACATCCCCGAGTGCCCAGGACGGCCCCTACCACAGAGAATGTCCAGCCCCAGTGGCAGGAGTGCTGCAATCAGGAGCCCCCTGTGTGCTTGTCATGAGTGACAAGAGTTTCAGGAGCCTACCGTGGTATCATGAGGATGAACTGAGAGGTAGGTCTCCAACGTGCAACTGGATAAAGCTGTGCTGGCCCTGGGCAGCCCATAGTAAGTCCTGCCTTAGCCTCATGTAACAGTGAAGGGGCTGAGGGGCTGGGAGCTGCAGGGCGGCACTAGAGGTATGTCCTTGCAGGGAGCTCAGGGACCAGTAGTAGTGGACAGAGGGGACACAACTAGTACAGAGGCTGCGTCACTGGGCACTGAGGTGAGCATGGTCTGCCAGTGCTTAACCCTCACAACAGCTTCGGGAGCTGGCTGTTCACTAGTCATACTTTAAAGTTGGGAAGACTGAATGTTGGGGGGATGCTATGTGTGCTGCTGGAAAAAAAGTCTAGTTGTAAGGGAAAAGCTTTGTAAAGGATTTGAGCCCTGTACAGTAGACTTAAACTCCTTATCCTGACTGCCTCTTCTCAATAGACTCTCCCCAGTAACCCACCTCTCTCCAACCTCCTTTGTGTAGTCAGTGCCTCAGGGCCTTTGCACTTGCCACCCCACCCTTTGTTATGTCTGCTGTACCCTGTCCTTCAGGACAGAACACATACATGGAGTGGAGTGGGCTATAACTAATGGGAAAGGTGGTCAGCCAGTGCTGCTGGCTCTTTGGAAGGGGAAGGAAGTTGCTGCAGGCAGTGAAGGCCAGATTGCCAGGACTGAGAGGAGAGTGTGGGAGGAAGGGAGGGAGAAGCAGCAGGTGTAGACTGCTCATTCCTGGAGTTGAAGGTGGGAGGAGGAAGAGCTGGGGATGGGGGGCTGGG